CAGAAACAGTACTATATAACATTTTAGACACATTCTAGACAGTTTATCAGCTAAAAAAAGTCAATTTTGGGGTAAGTTACTCTTTAAAAAACGTGCCTGTAAGTTCAAACACATTTTTTCTAACAGTTTCAGTGTAATTAGGAATTTCAGGCTTAAGAGTGAAGCCAAGTGACGCCATATTTGTGTGTGGAAATAGGTGACAATTCACTGAGTGTCCACATCAATAAAGACCATGTAAAGAAAAATGTAACATTTTCTTTTTTAAATGTTATAAATGTCAAAAATGGATTGTTGTAAATGAGTACAAATTCTCTCAGCTGTAGAAATTTGAATATTGGAGATATGATTCAATTTGTGTAGCAAAGTATCTGTGTTTCAGGATTTTTTAGGCGTGTCTTAAAGGGCAGCCCCGTGATGTCACGCAGCTGCCTTCAGTATGACCCCGCCCCCTGTTGCTCTAATGGAAAATAAAACAAATATTGTTTCCTTGGTTACAGGAATGTTCAGGGTCGTGGGCGTGATTTAAGCTCCTCCAGCGGACACGCCCCCAGCATTCCAGACCACAGCTAACTGATATCTTTTCATTACTTTTAACACATAATTTTATAAGGTTAACGGTATTTTTAATTGTTCAAACTTGGCTGGGTGATTATTAACACATATTTCTGTGGTGTAACAACCTCAGAACACACATTTATTTTTACTTTACAAGTCCTTTTAGTATTAACAAAAGCAGGGTGGAGCTTGTAAACTGAGACCTGCTGGCTTTATTGAGTAAGGGGTCTCTGCAGTAGATTTTGTCCTGTGGGCGGAGACGTCCCTGCATGTGATTGGCGGAGGTCTTGATGTGGGCGGAGACGTCCCTGCTCGTGAATGGTGGAGGTCTCGATGTGGGTGGAGATGGTCCGAGACGTGATTGGTCAGATTGACGGTGGGGTTTGAGGAGGCTGGAGGCAGCGGGGAGTAGCTTGGTCGAGTCGGGCAGGAAGTAACATGTTTTTTTAGATTAATTTTAGTCATAACTTGAGAAAAGAACGTGCTAGCTGCATGAAATTTGAACATCATACATGTGAAAGGATGTGTAACAATATGGCTTGGTCAAAACATCCCTAACCAGCCTGTAAAAAGATCCCTAAAAATCAATATTTTTTTACAGGCTGGTTAGGGATGTCTTGACCGAGACATATTGTTACACATCCTTTCACATGTACGACGTTCAAATTTTGTGCAGCTAACACTTTCTTTTCTCAAGTTATGACTAAAATTAATCTTAAAAAAACGTTACTTCCTGCTCGACTTGACCATGCTACTCCCCGCTGCCTCCAGCCTCAGACACCACCATCAATCTGACCAATCACATTTCTTGGGCCGTCTCCACCCACATCAAGACCTCCGCCAATCACGAGTAGAGCCATCTCCGCCCACATCAAGACCTCCGCCAATCACGAGTAGGGCCGTCTCAGCCCACAGGACAACACGTTCTGCAGAGACACCTACTTGGCTTTATCTCTCAACAGCATGTAGAGAAGGTGATTTGTTCTAGGGTTGTAAAACATGTTTATGGGATGTACATCATAATGTTGTGGGAACACGCTACTGATAAATAAAGTGACAAACACAACAATACCACTGCCTTCACATTAAAGGATGGTAAAGAAATTGTATGCCTTTCAACCATTTTCCAATAAAATGTGGAGAAAATTGTGATCCAGTCTGAAGGTGACCTCAGATGTTTCACATCATGTGAAGATTATCACCTGTCTAAACCCAGCTAACGTCAAATCACTACAGGCCAACTGATAGTTTAACCAGGGTCATAATATATGTTTTCCAGTACCAATGTTCTCCTGTACAATGCCTGCACTGTAAATTAGAATTTTAAAGTTTGTTTTAAAAGACTTTTGTAGGGAGGAGCCAAGCATCTTACATGACTTTCATTATTAACCCGAGGAGAACATAGGTACCGGAGTGCTGTTCAATCATGGATTTTTCTAAAATGTTCAAAAAACTAACACTTAATGTCAGTTTCTTTCCTCCAAAAACTCAGTTCCTAAGTTGCACTGTTGCAGAATATAATGAAAGAAGTTGTGTTTTTGCTTATCTTTAAGTTCAACTGTTGATTAGTTAGGCTGTGACAGTGGTGGAGCTGTTAATTAAGTTGTTTTACTAAAGATTATGCCAGTACTCTGAGGTTTTATTAGGAGAAGGTAGAACCAGGCCTTTCACTTTGATCCATCTGTGTCTGTTCATCCAACGGATTTGTTTCAGTAGTCAGCAGGGTGAACTGGCAGCAGAGATGAGCAGAGCTGACAGAGACTTCCAGGATGACACAAAATCACTCTTTAGTGAGGTGCTGATCTGTTCATGTCAAAGTCACAGCTTGGTGAGACAAGTGTTACCTGCTAGAGCTGATATTTGTGCTTCATCACGCTGTTTTCCAGGTTTACATCCCAGATCTGTGTGCTCAAAATGCCCAGTGGTGCTGCTCATCAGATGCCCATCAGTTTTAGTGGTTGGCTTACAGAAGCAAGACTTGATTAAATCGCTTTGCCATTTGTCTGCAAATGTGTGTTTGGTAGCTTCTTTTGCACATGCTCATTGCATCACATGATGCTCATCGGCTTGTTGCATTTTCTTTTGCAAGTTTTCCACAGATGTTTCAGAAAAAACAATAACCATAACCATAAAAAATCACTCACAAACTTGCCAGTAAGGATGTTTCTTACATTTTTAGGTCTTGGTAAAAACCTAAAAATGTAAACATCTGTAGGAGGAATTTCATACTTTAATTCCTCTCATTGCAAAAAAAAGGTTTTGGTTATTTTAAAATTTATTATTCAACATAATTTTTAATATAATTAAATCAAATTTTAAAAGATAAAAGTTTCTATAGTATTAGCACGTTTACTCATAATGTTATCCCAAATTGAAAGAAAAAGAGTTATTTAAAAAATGAATGAAAACAACAGTGATTTCTGCATTTGGTTGACTAATTTAATTAGATTGTGTGTGTTTACATCATTACATCTATTATTTATACGTAAGCCATACACTGGTGGATTTCTGGCCTGCAACATCTTCCAGAAAAAAAACTTGGAATTGTTGAAGCTTTATAATATAAATTTCCTAAATAAAATTTAAAATAAAATCAAGTGCCTGCGATTTTGTTAGTATAACCTGCTTAGAACTTTTTGTTTAATCAACTCTGCATTTTAAAAATATGCTGCAAGTCTGAAATCCAAGACTACATGAAAAAATGTAATAAAGCTGACAAAAACAATAAGGTAAAAATCACTGTTGTTTTTTCCTGTCCTGTTTATGTGGGGTTTTAAATTTATACATAATTAGTCAATAAGAAGGATGTTTTCAGGAATCGTTAGCTCACACTTGACTCTGAATGCATTTTTCCAACAGCATTTTGACTTACTTGTTGTTTTTGTTCCTTTTGTGTTTCAGTATGATCTACTCCTTGGTTACCTCATAACAACCGCTCCCTCAGCCACCAGGGAGGAACTCAAAGGCCTTGGATCCAATTGGTACCACAGAGCACTGGTATAGACAAGAAGAGCAAACATAAAAAACAAA